TGTAATAAATAATACATATTTGATTAATATTATTATTAATAATATAATTTTTTTTAAATTTTCAATTAAAAATATATTTATATTAGTATTAAATATAAATCCTTGAAATTGCTATAAAAAATAAATATATATTTATTTTATATATATTTATATATATAAATCTTGTTTATAAATAATATATTCAAAACACATTTTATCCATATAACTAATTAAAAAAATATTATATTGTTATGGATATAATGTTAACAACAAAAATGCATAATATTTATAAAGTATATATATATATATATATTTATTTATTTATTTAAATAATAAAAATATTAGCAAAATTTATATTGATGTTATCATACATTTTATTTATTTTTTTTAACATTTCACATATAATTTTTTAATATTACCACAAATATAGCATATAATTATATAATAATAATTATTTAAATTAATTTTTCAAATAACAAATTTATTTGTTGTTCATAGTATTACTAAGATTTAAAAAAAAAATTAAATAATTTTTAAAAACACTATTAAAATATTATTATAATTTAACAAAATTATTGCTTAATTTTTTAAAACAGGTTTAACTTTTACAACATACGTAAAAATCTAAAATAAATAAATATTTAATAATTTTAAATACATTAACATTTTTATATTACTTGATTTTACTCAATTTTATTTATGTAAATTAATAATTAAATAAATAAATATGTGTTATTAATGATTTATTGAATAATATTTTTTAAAAAAATATTTAAATAAATATAATTGTTATTAAAAAAATTTAATGTAATATTATATAATGTAAAATTTTGTATGTTTTATGATTTTAATTGTAGATTTAATTTAATTAGTTATAGAATTAAAATATTATTAATATTATTAATAATAAAACGATTTATAACTAATTAAAAAAATAAAAGAGTTATTATACAGTATTATTAAAATAAGTTTCAAAAATAATAATAAATTTGCTAAAATTTTCAACAATTAATATTAGTTAATATTACTAGTAGTAGTAGTAGTAGTAATAGTAAATAAATTGTTATACAATAACAACAAAATCAAAACTAAAATTTTGAAATAATATAATAATATTTTTTTTAATAATTATATTAATATAAGCGACAAACATAAAAAAATTTAATTAAATGTCATCAACAAAATCATCGGTTATAAGGATCGGTATCTTAGGTGCCGGTAGTTCGGGTGCCGTCGCCTGTAAGTCATGTCTGGAGGAAGGCTTCGATGTTGTTGTCTATGAGAAAACCGGACAAACAGGTGGTCTCTGGCGATATTGTGAGGAGAAGGAGGGGGAGGTAGAAGAGGACAGTTGTGTTGTCGACAACATCGACGGTTTGGGATCAGTGGCCAAAAGTACTGTTATTAATACTAGTAAAGAAATGCAGGCCTACAGTGACTGTCCACCGCCGGCCGACTTTCCTAACTTTATGCACAATAAAAAATTGGTTAGTATTTTATGACTATTTTTTTATTTATTAGTTATAAAGTTTTTTATATTTTTTTTAATTAAATGAAAATAATTTTTACTAAATAATTAATTATTTATTTTTTTTAAATCTTTATTATTATTATTATAAATTAAAATTTTGTTATAATACTTCATTGTTATTAATATAAATTACAATATATTATTAATTATAATAAATTTAGTAAATTTTCTAATAAATAATAGTTTTATTTATTTATTTTTATTATTATAAGATTATTATATCCAATATACTTGATATATATATATATATATACTTTAATTTTATATTTTTAATTAATTATAATTAAACAATAATAATAATTATGATAATTTTTTTTAAAAATAAAATTTATTTTTCTCTATTATTCATAAATAATATTTTAAGTATTTAATTTATAATTATTAGTTACTTTTAAAGTTATTTTATTTTTCATTATTATTAAATTTTATTTTTAAATTTTATTATATATATCATATTTTATTAATAAGTATAGTTTATTATATTAAATTTAAATAATTTTTGAATTTAATTATTAATAGTAGTTTCTATTAAGTAATGGATTTTATTTATTTTTTATTTATTGTTTTCATATATACAGTATAAGTCCTAAAAATATATAATAATTTTATAAACTAATTGTTTGTTTTGATTTTTAGATTCAATACTTTGATGGCTATAATCAAACATTTGATTTTCAACGATACGTACGATTCAGACACGATGTACTCAATGTAGAGCCCAATGACGACTATGATAGGACCGGGCGCTGGAAGATAACCGTCCGAAACAACAATACTAACTGTCTGACTGTCGAAGTGTTTGACGGTGTAATGGTATGTACCGGTCAGTACAGTAGGCCATTGATACCGACAATCAAAGATCAACATCTATTCAATGGCCGTATATCTCATACACATACATACAAAATACCCGATGAGTATGCAAACAAACGGGTAGTTGTTGTAGGTGTGGGCAATTCAGGCGGTGATGTGACCGTAGAGTTGTCTACTGTGGCTTCTCAGGTGCGCTAAAAAAACATTTTAATTTCCAAAATAATTTAAATACATATCCTAAAAATATTAATTAATTTTATTATTATTATTWTATTTATAGACATATCTATCGACCCGTTCCGGTACGTGGATTGCCTACAGAGTGGGTCCAAATGGTAGACCAATGGACACATGTAAGGCCAGTCGTTTCAATAATTTTCTACTAAATCTATTGCCTATGAATTGGAGATATAATCTACTAGAAAATAAACTAAACAAGGTAGTCGATCACGATTACTATCAATTAAGGCCTAAGCACCGGGCGTTTACCCGGCACCTGATGGTCAACGATATGCTAATCGTATACYATCGGGTAGTGTTATAGTTAAGTCGGATATCCAACAGTTTACCGAAAACGGTGTAATATTTAATGGTTTGTCACCTATTATATAGAAGTTTTATTTTTATCTCTAAAAAATTATTTTTATTTTATTTATTTTCTTATTATTTATATTTTATTTTCTTATTATTTATATTTTATTTATATTTTATTTATATTTTATTTATTTATTATATTATTATTTTCTTATTATTAATATTTTATTTATTTATTTTATATGTTATTTTTTGGACACCAATTAACTACAGGCGATAAACAGGAAACACTGTGCGATGCGGTAGTATTGGCCACTGGCTATCAACAGTCGCTTGAGTTTCCATTTATATCYAACCCTCAGCTGCCCATACCTACCGATCGATTAGATCTCTATAAGTATGTATTTGTACCGAAACTCCTGCATCCAAAATCACTGGCCTTTATTGGTTACATACAAGTAATCGGTTCTCATCTGACTATTTCCGAACTTCAATGTCGATGGTTTGTCCGATTGATGGCCAATAAATTGTCGCTACCGTCCAGTCAGTCAATGTTGGCTAACTGTGCTGACCAAAAGTGTCGCCAACAGCACAGATACTCGGACGGCAACGATAGTCCAGGCCATCCAAAACAAACCACTATTAAAGTTGATTATATTAAATGGTTGGACTATATGGACGATTTGGCCGTACAGTTAGGTGTTAAGCCTAAACTATGGTCATATTTTTTGACTGATCCAAAACTATGGCGAGCACTGGTATTTGGTCCMTGTGCTCCATATCAATATCGATTGAATGGTTAAATTTTGTTTGATTTAATTACTTATATAAACTATATAACTGATAGTTAATTATTATTATTTTTTTTAATAATAATTATTATTTTGATGGGTTAGGACCACATTCATGGTCAGGTGCCCGACAGGCCTTACTAACCATTAATGAACGTATTGAACAACCGTTAAAAACCAGACACCAGAAGCAGAAACAAATAATAACTAAAACTAACTATTTATTGTTTGGACGGTTAGATATGAGCAGCACCGGGATGTTATTTGCTGTTATTATTGGTTTAATTATTGGAGTTTTTATAAATTTTATTTTTTTTTTTTATAGATAAAATTTTTTCTTAATTAATTATTAATTAATTTATTATAAAATATTCATAACACATTTTTACCCATATAWCTAATTAAAAAATAGTATACAGTATTATTATAATAATGTTAACAACAAAAATGCATAATATTTATACAGTATATATATATATATATATAAATAATAAAAAATATTAGCAAAACTTTTACATTATTTTACATATTTTAACATTACCACAAATATAGCAATTACTACTACTACTACTACAATATTATTATTATATAATAATAATTATTTAAATTTAATTTTAAGAAAAAAATAAACAGTTAATAATCAATAAATGTAATAACAAATATTTTTTTTAGTAATTTCATATTTTTTTAATTATAATTTATGTTTTTGGAAATTTATTTGTTGTTCATATTACTAATAAATTATATAAAAAWTTTTTTAAATCTTAAAAATACTATTAAAATATTATTATTATATAATTTAACAAAATTATTGCRTAATTTTAAAAACAGGTTTAACTTTAACATAAAAAAAGTTAAAAATCTAAAATAAATAACTAATATTAATATTTAATAATTTTAAATACATATATATATTATTATATAATATTTGATATTACTGAATTTAATTATTAAATTAAAAATTAAATAAATAAATATGTGCTAAATAATTTATTGAATAATATATTTATTTAAATTTAAATAAATATAATTATTATTAAAACAAACTAAAAATTCAATGTAATATTTTCTATTTTATATTAATTTTTAATTAAATTAAATATTTAATTAAATTTTTTGATAAACTAATAATAAAACGATTTATTATTAATTGTTTTTTAAATAGATTTTATATAATATAATTAGTTACTATACAGTATTATTATAATAATTTAGTAATAATAATAAAAAATAGTAGTAGTAGTAAAAATAATTTATAACATAAAAGTAGTTAATAAATTGTATTACTGTATTAATAATAATAATTTTAACTAACTAATTATATTAATAAAATCGACAAAAAAATTAATTAAATGTCATCAACAAAATCATCGGTTATAAGGATCGGTATCTTAGGTGCCGGTAGTTCSGGTGCCGTCGCCTGTAAGTCATGTCTGGAGGAAGGCTTCGATGTTGTTGTCTATGAGAAAACCGGACAAACAGGTGGTCTCTGGCGATACCRTGAGAARGAGGARGAGGAAGAGGACAGTTRTGTTGTCGGTTTGGGATCAGTGGCCAAAAGTACTATTATTAATACTAGTAAAGAAATGCAGGCCTAYAGTGACTGTCCACCGCCGGCCGACTTTCCTAACTTTATGCACAATACAAAATTGGTTAGTATTTAGATATATATTAATTAAACAAAAATAATAATTATKATAATTTGTAATTTTTTACAGGAAATGTTTTTTTTAATTAATATTAATATTTAATTTTATTATAATTTTTGTTTTAATTTAGTGTTATTAATAWTATTAATATTATTGTAATTATTATTTTRTATTTAATAATTTATAATCGATTTGTTTTTTATAAAAAATTAATTTTTAGATWCAATACTTTGATGGATATAATCAAACATTTGATTTTCAACGATATGTCCGATTCAGAMACGATGTACTCAATGTAGAGCCCAATGATGACTATGATAGGACCGGGCGCTGGAAGATAACGGTCCGCAACAACAATACTAACTGTCTGACTGTTGAAGTGTTTGACGGTGTAATGGTATGTACCGGTCAGTACAGTAGGCCATCGATACCGACAATCAAAGATCAACATCTATTCAATGGTCGTATATCTCATACACATACATACAAAATACCCGATGAGTATGAAAACAAACGGGTAGTTGTTGTAGGTGTGGGCAATTCGGGCGGCGATGTGGCCGTAGAGTTGGCTACAATAGCCTCTAAGGTATTGTTATTTTTTTAAAAAAATAACATTTATTTCAAATAATAACAACTTATTAATTATATTAAAAACATTTTAATTATTTTTTATATGTATCAATAATTTATCATATATACTATCTATCTATCAGGATTAATCAAGGGGGAGGTAGGGGTCAAGCTAAATGACCTAACCTATGATCGATATTTTAGGATTTAACCCCTAGAATTTTTTATCAAATGGGAAAAGTTGACCCACCCTTGACCCACCCCTAAAATCTAAAAACTTGCTTAACCCTACTATATATATATATATAGACATATCTATCGACTCGTTCGGGAACATGGATTGCCTACAGATTGGGTCCAAATGGTAGACCAATGGACACATGTATGGGCAGTCGTTTCARTAATTTTCTACTAAATCTATTGCCTATGAATTGGAAATATACACTATTGGAAAATAAACTAAACAAGGTAGTCGATCACGATTACTATCAATTAAAGCCTAAKCACCGGGTATTTACCCGGCATCTAATGCACAACGATATGCTACCTAATCGTATACTATCGGGTAGTGTTATAGTTAAGTCGGATATTCAGCAGTTTACCGAAAATRGTGTAATATTTAATGGTTTGTCTCTATTATATAGATTTTTATTTTTTATSTCTAAAAAAATTATTTATATTTTAATTATTTTCTTATTATTTATATTTTATTTTCTTATTATTTATATATTTATTTTCTAATTATTTATTTATTTTATTTATTTATTTTATTATTATTTATTTTTTTGAACACCAATTAACTACAGGCGATAAACAGGAAACACTGTGCGATGCGGTAGTATTGGCCACTGGCTATCAACAGTCGCTTGAGTTTCMATTTATATCCAACCCTCAGCTGCCCATACCTACCGATCGATTAGATCTCTATAAGTATGTATTTGTACCGAAACTACTGCATCCAAAAACACTGGCCTTTATTGGTTTCATACAAGTAATCGGTTCTCATCTGACTATATCGGAACTTCAATGTCGATGGTTTGCCCGATTGATGGCCAATAAATTGTCGCTACCGTCCAGTCAGTCGATGTTGGCTAACTGTGYTGACCAAAAACGTCGTCTAAAGCACAGGTACTACGACAACTATAGTCCAGGTCATCYGAAACCGACGATTATTGATAAAGTTGATTATATTAAATGGTTRGACTATATGGACGATTTGGCCGCACAGTTAGGTGTTAAGCCTAAACTATGGTCATATTTTTTGACTGATCCAAAACTATGGTGGGCACTGGTATTTGGTCCYTGTGCTCCATATCAATATCGATTGAATGGTTTGATGATTTTATTTTAATTGAGTTACTTATATAACTGATAGTTAATTATTTATTATTATTATTATTATTWTGATGGGTTAGGACCTCATTCATGGTCAGGTGCCCGACAGGCCTTACTGACCATCAATGATCGTATTGAACAACCGTTAAAAACCAGACACCAGAAGCAGAAACCAATAATAACTAAAACTAACTATTTATTGTTTGGTGGGTTAGATATGAGCAGCACCGGGATGTTATTTTCAGCTATTATTATCTTAATTATTGGAATTTTATTATATTATATATATTTTTAAAAATTTTATAGCAAATATTKWTACAATTAATTATACAACAAAAAAATAAAACAATTATTTTTATTGTTTTATTTATAATATAAGTTTTGGTTTTTTGWTTTAATTTTGATTTAATATAATTTCAAACCTATTGATTTTTTTTATTTAGCATTAATTARTATTTTTTCATTWWAATTATCTAAAATACTTTTAAAMCTTTTAMTTATAATTTTTAAAAAAAATTATTACARACTAATAAATATTATATTATATTAAATATATTGTATATTATTAACCATACAATTAAAATTAATAAAATTATATATAATAATAATAATAATAATATATAAATAAAAATTATWTTTATATAAATCATTATTATTATTATTATTGATATTGTTTAAATACAAAATTAATTTGGATAAAATAATGAACATTGATTAGATTTTATGAAAATGCTAGTTATATCATTTGAATTAAATAATTGAGCATGGAACTTTTTTGTTTCAAATAATTCAATYAGTAATCTAACTATATTAGTATTATTAATAKTATTATTATTATTATTATTAATAATAGTAGTAGTATTATTACTAGTATTATAGATCAATTTTAAAATATTATTATTATCTTTATGCAATTTAATATAATCATCTAGTTCAGTTTTATTGACAATATATTGACTACACTTGATAACAATTTCCATACTAGTTGGTCGATGATGATAATTTGGTTCTAGCATTGCCATAATCAACTGTATCATATAGTCCATATGTAATTCAATGGGATTGTGATAGTATAGATTAGCCAATTGTGATCTATATTAATAAAAAAAATATACACAATAATAACAATTAACATTAAATTATATTACATTTTTATTTATTTATTTATTTTTACAAAAAACTACATATTTTAAAAATTAAAAATAAATTTTATAATATTAAAAAAATTAATAAATTTAACTAGTAGGTGTTTTTTCTATGTATTTTAATTATTAAATATAATTTAATATATTGCTAAAAAAAATAATTAACATGCTATAAATTAGATTATTTTTTAAAAAATAAAAAATAAATTTTATAATGTTAAAAAATGTGATACCTAGTAAATTTAAGTAGTAGTTGGTTTTTTTTAAAATAAAATTAAAATCTATGTATCTTAATTATTTAGCAATAATTATATATATTGCTAAATAAATAAATAAACATACTATAAATTTGATTTTAAAAAAATAAAAATATAAATATAGATATGTTTAAAAAAATAAATATATATATAGTATACATAGTTTTATTACATACATATTGAAGTCGGTTATGTCAAACAATTCCTTGGCAATCAAACCCAGACTATAGACATCACTTTTTCATTATAGGGTACTCTATCTACTGGACTCTTGACTTCCGGTGCCATATATCGTACAGTACCGGCATATTTGGTATGCAATTCCGATTCAATGGCCGATTCCGCCGGTACTGGACTACTAACACTACTACTGTATGGCTGTCCATCACTGACTTCCATAGAGTTATTAGTATTATTAGTTACTATACAGGGGTCGACATCATAGCGGTTGTGTTCAGTAGACAAACCAAAGTCACACAGTTTGAYAAAACGGCTCAAACTAATCGATGGCCAGTCGTTGATGAGTATGTTTTCCGGTTTGATATCCCTGTGTATGATAGGTGGCCGACATTGATGAAGGTATTGTAGACATTGACTGATTTCCAATARTATATGACTAGTAATGTAATATTCAATTAAGTCAATGGCTTCGGTAGGTTGTTGTTGTCGACCAAATACCTGTGCCTTTTGTTTAATGATATCCCGTGAGACTATGGGTGTATAACTCCATATGTATGTGCAGTATATTGAACTCAAACCAAGTGTCATAGTAGTTGATCACCCAATCGGATCGTAATTTTAACATTTTTATGACTTCCTCTAATAAATCGCWGTCTAAATAGTCGTCGGGAACTAATAATAATAATTTTTTTTAAAAAAATCGTAAAATAASTTCAAATAAAATCATATAAACTTTTTTTAATATATAAAAAAAACAATAAGTTTTATATAAAAAATTATTTCAATTAAATWATAATAATAATTAAAAACTTATTACTAATTARTCGTTAGTAATTAAAATTTTTGTTAATTATAAATAAATAAAAATYTAATTATAATTAAAAATAGTATATTTAATTATAATTAATTAATTATATTTAYTATAAATTAAATATAATTAATAAATCGGTAACCAATAGCTAAAAAAAAAGTAGAKAAAAAATACTCGTAAAATAAGTTTTTAAAAACTTTTAAATAAAATAAACTCAATTTTTTTATAACTATAATAATATTTAAAAAAAATAATTTTAATTAATAATAATAATTAAAAAAATAATAATTACTTTTATCTAATATTTTTATCGCCGATCTATTCAACGATTGYYTRTCWATAACTTCAATAACGTGTCCATAACTACCCGAACCTAACTGTTTTTGTTTAGTAAACATACTGACCATATAATTAGGCCTTTCCTTAATTTTACCAAAATTTTCATTATATAATTTAATATCCAATGTATCGATAGTTTTATTACATTCAATAGCAAACAAATCGACAAAATTATTGTAATATAATTTAATTAACTGTCCTTTTGATGAATAATAGCCTAATTCATGGTAACTATTATTGTTGGCGTTGTTAACATATTTTTCGTAAATTTCCCAAACATTTTCCACAATTAATTCCATAGGTTTTCCATATGTATAGCACAGTATATCTACCGTTTCGTATAGTTGTCCATTGGTTGTCAAAAAATAGGTAAAACTATCATAATTTGATATCATTTTGATATCGCTAACCAGGGAACTAGTTTAGGCTGTCTAAGCGATATATACTGTGTATTGCCTACCCGTCCCCARGCGTATACCCGGCCATCATCAGCGGCTATGGCCAGTGATGTATATCGGAAACAATAGATTGATTTAATAAAAATATTRTTATTATTRTCGKGAAATATAACCCGAACGGGACTATCAATATAATCAATTTTTCACAGCAACCGCACTGTCCGTTTCGGTTATCACCCCAWCCGTAGACTCGGCCATCACTGGTCAGGGCTAGTGAGTGATAGTCACCGCATCGGATATCGGTAATACATATATCATTGTCGGGTAATTCAATAATCGATGGCTTAGTATACTCGCCCTCCTCWACATCATCATCAGCAGCAGCAGCACCGGTAGGTTTAGGATAATATTCTGTGGGTTGGTTTGTCAGACCCATACCTCTCAGCCAATGTTTTCCGTATGTATTCCAACCCCAACTATATAACCGATTATTTCGAGTCAAACAATGACCAAATCGATGGCCAAACCGAAACCATAGGACAGCCTTACCGGACAATTCGGGTATCAATTGTGGTTCGTTTAGCCGATTATTATGATCCCCAACACGTATACCACTGGATGTATCGCCCAATGCATAGACACTGTCATCGTTGGTAACAAATAGTAGGCTTTTCTGTTGATATGAAATTAATTTGATTTCATATTTCAAACCAATGGGTATTTTTGTACATAAATCAAAATTATTTAATAAATCAATTGTCGACATAATTATGTTATTTTTAAATATATATTTTTTAAATAAAAAATATTTTTTTTGTTGATTTTAACACAGTTTGTATAATTTGATGTTATTTTTATATCAATATATTTAAATATATATTTAAATAATAATAACTTAATTAATAAAATAAATGTGTTTAACATTAAAAAAACTTTATATATATATATATAATTTAAATGATTTAAAGTTTAAAATTTATATATTTTTCACATTATTAATCATTACATTAAATAGTTTTTTTAAAAATAAAATAAATAAATTTCACTAATTTTGAATTATGATAATTGAAAAATAACTCTAAATTATTATATTAGTAATAATAATAAAAATGCATAATATTTTTTATAATATTTTTTTCATAATAATTATTATTCAAAATAAACTAATTATTTTTGTTAATAAACTAATTTCAATAAWAATTAATTTTATTTAATTAATTAAAAATAAATAAATAAATAAAACATTTTATAGTATCCATGAATACCAAGATAATAGTCTCTAAATAAATATTTATATTTAACTTTTATTATATTATTTAGTTATATATATATGACATCTATATTTATACAAATATATATATATATATATATATATTGGATATYATTTACACAGTTATACTTATAGATGTCACCCATAGTCTAGTAAAGTAATTGTATTGTATTATATACAGTATAACAAACAATTTATAACTAATACCAGTATTTATAACTAAATATTATAATTTTTTTAAATATTATTGATAAAAATAATTATTATTTTATTTATTTAAAAATTTATATATTTAATCTATTTTTTTTTAAATTTACTTAMAAAAAATATATAATTATATACATGTACATTTAAAATATACACTAGATAAATTTTAATAATTATAAATAATACAGTTTAATTTTAATGTACATTTATTATTTCTAATTATTATTAAATTATAGTTTAATTATTTTTTTATCAAAATTAAATCTCTAATCTAATCTACTATATTTTACTTAAAAAAATTTTTAACTACTAGAAATAATAATTGATGTATAAATTATATAAGTATTTATTTTATAATTATAAAAATAAATTACTTATTGATAAAAATAATAATAATAATATATAAAATTATATATACAGTATATATAACTCAAATAAATAAAACATACATTTTATTATGTATTTAATTAAGCAATGTTTTAATAATAGTCATAATTTTGTTGCAATAAATGATTATACATTTTTTGACAAATTGATAATTTTTTTAATTAAAATAATATCTACATAATTATTAATTAATTAAATGCAACAAAAAAAGTCACATTAAATTAACAGTGTATTTTAATAGTATTTTAATTTACATTTTTTTATTATTATTATTATTAATTAGTWGATGATGATWTTATTTTTAATGATTATTTTTTAATGAATTTTTTCATAATTTTTTATACATRCACATATAATATCATTATTATTATTATTATTGTTAATATTATTACAAYAATTACAAATAAAATGTTTAAAAATYCAGTACATTACATATTAATTTTATCATTATATTTTWATAAAATAAATWGYTTAAAAAAGTATCTTGGTATATTTTGTATTTACTTAGTTGAATTGCACTCTATAAGTTTTATATGTAATAATTTTATATTATATTTAAAATGCTTAATTATTATGTTTAAATTTTTTATAGATAATTAAAAAAACATTTTTCCCCATTATATTATAAATATAATTATTATATAACTARGAGATTTTATATAATGTTAGTTATAATTATTTAAATACAGTATTATTATTATTATTATTATTATTTATTGATAAAACTTAATATAAATAAATATACTGTATATATATRATGTCTATASATATATCTATTATACTGAACATTATATACTARATAGATGTCACTYATAGTACTAATGATTAAATTATATATATATATATAMWGTATATACATATAATTTTTWTTAAATAATTTATTATTTAAAAATGATTATTTTATTAATTATTTTTAAATAATTATAAATAATTTAAAAAATAAATWTTATTACATTAAAAAATAAATATTTATTTTTATTTATGATAAAAAATAYATTTATAATTRTGTYTAAATAATGWATTWATTKAT